AAAGAGAAGAAAGAGAAGAAAGAGAAGAAAGAGAAGAAAGAGAAGAAAGAGAAGAAAGAGAAGAAAGAGAAGAAAGAGAAGAAAGAGAAGAAAGAGAAGAAAGAGAGGAAAGAGGAGAAAGAGAAGAAAGAGAAGAAAGAGAAGAAATATTTATGCATACCCTAAAATCATTTCTATATTATTTCTATTTCTATAATATTTTTGAAAAGTAAGTAGCTGCCCCTACTGTTCAGCGTACACTTTTTTGATCATTTCAAGAGTTTTGATCATTTGGTATTTGATCTCTTGATATTTTTCCGTTTTAGCATGTATCTTTATAAAATATGTTAGTGAGAATTTCTGTAATTATTAATTAAACATGTGTTCTTTTGAAATATGAATATGATTTTATTATAAAAGAGGCGTCTCAATATTTGGCAATGAAAATTCTATGTTGCAACAACCGATATTAACATAATGTAAAACTGACAATCGGCTTTGTTAGGTTCAGGCTAATTAATATCTGCTAAGAAATTGAGTCTTTGTCACAAACTCTGATTTTTAAATGTATTGTTAACCTTAGATTTCAATTCAATCTATGAATTTTGTTATTTCAAATTATCTAAGTTTGAAATATTTATGGAATAAGATATATGATATATACAGGAGCTTTTCATATATAATGTGCTACATGGGTGCTAATCATATATATACATGCATACGTGGATTTAACGGTTCTGTCAATATTCCAGAAAACTGTGACTTTCCATCACAATTTGACCCATTAAACATAATTTGTAAGCCTTTTCCTTTTTTACTTTTTTGTCGGCATATGCATTTTGAATGAAAATGTTTAGGATAAACAAATCCGTAAAGTAAAAGATTGTTAAATTATAGATCAAAACACGTTTGATTAAAAATAGAAGAAACCGAATCCTGCTCACTCTGGTTAGTCCGGTGTGTGCAAAGCTATTTATGATCGATATTTATACTAAGATGATATTTATGCTAAGAAGATATTTATACTAAGATGATATTTATACTAAGATGATATTTATACTAAGATAATATTTATCCTAAGATGATATTTATACTAAGATGATATATTTATACTAAGATGATATATTTATACTAAGATGATATTTATCCTAAGATGATATTTATCCTAAGATGATATTTATACTAAGATGATATTTATACTAAGATGATATTTATACTAAGATAATATTTACACTAAGTTGATATTTATCCTAAGATATACCTCTGAATCATATTTGATAACAGTTGCCTTGTCTCCAATGTAGCTAATGTATCCAGAATCCTTATCATTTATCACCTTAATCAAGTTTTACCAAAGTTATAATTAGTTTGAACAAGTCGGGTTGTGTAAGTAGTGTATGTGAACTTTTCAATTTGTTTTAAAGGGAAAGACCGGCTATGTAATGTAGTTGAACTTAATATGCTGTGTTGTGAACAAATTTGTTTTTGTTTAAACTTGTAAATAACGACGACAAAAAACGTTAAAAAATTCTTCAGCAAACTAATTAGTTGTTCAGGAACATGTTGAGAAAATAAAAATTAATCTTATCATTGAAAATAAATAATCTTGTTCAATTATTAGTTTCTATTTATCATTATTCTGGTTTCTCATTATTCACGAAAATTTTTCTGCAGATTTTCTGGAATTATTATTGAAAAGACGACATTTGAAAAAGTTAAAGAAATCTGTGAATAAATTCAATAAAATAATGAAAACGAAATAATCGATTCTAGCATTAATTTATTGACAAATTTCTTTTGAGAAATATGTTCCTAACCATCTAATAAGATTACTGTATAATTTTTACTTTATTTTTCGTCGTTGTCCACAACACTGCACACTCAGTTCAACTACATACCTTAAATAGCCGGTCTGTCCCTTTAAATGGTTAGCTAAATTTAAATAACTAATTTATTTTTCGCAATTCTTAAAATGTCCGCACATAGACGATACTGTGCCCTAATATGGTGAAATGAAAGGAATTCTTGGTGTTTAATTAGAAAATATGTCTGTTACAGTTTTCAGTTGCTTTCAACTTATAACTTAAGCTGGTTCTATCCGTTTGATTCCCCTGATACATTTTCAAAACTTCCGCTTCTTAACACATCTTTGCCCTAGCCTGTTTACAACAATTATGTTAACCTAGCCTGTTAACAACGATTATGTTAACCTAGCCTGTTAACAACAATTATGTTAACCTAGCCTGTTTACAACAATTATGTTAACCTAGCCTGTTAACAACAATTATGTTAACCGTTTTTCTCATCAAAAAACTCGAAAGTTATGTTTGATCACCAAAATATTTGAAAAGAGAAAAAAGAGAGATAACCTGATATGCTGTATCAAATATAGAACGAGGGCACAGTCTCCTTAAAGTAAGAAGAACAGATGATTCTAATGTATAAGGTATACTACAGGCTACACAGGATGCCCATTCTAGATCAGGATCCTCACATGGAAAATCATACCTTTAAATAAGATAGGTTACACCAGGCCCAGGGACAAAATTTTATGAACTTGAGGGTGGCTGAACTGACTACTGCTGGTATAAACTTGAATCACCGATTCAAATCCTTTCTTAATAGTTAATTTTGAATCTGTGCATGGTTCAGATTTGAACCAGTAGGTGGCAGTACATCGACGTATCTCACATTCATAAAATTTGGTCCCAGAGCAGAGAGTATCGTTAAACGAAACTCACTAGTTTCCCTTTTGAGGTATATTCATTTGTGTAGATTTTATTCACACTAGCTTTAACCATGATACCTCATTTATTATTACTCAGATAAATGTTTAAAGAACTGCTGTCAATCCGATAAACTATAAGACTACTTTATAATCGGAGAGAAATTAAAAATAGAGATTATAGAAGCAACAATTTAAGATAAAATGGCATTGTATGATATTGATATGATATTTCTAACAGCTGAGGTTGGAACTATAGTGCGTTGAATTCGTGATCTGGCGGATTAATTCTATTCCTTCTCATCTGGCGGTTTAATTCTATTCCTTCTCATCTGGCTGATTAATTCTATTCCTTCTCATCTGGCGGATTAATTTTATTCCTTCTCATCTGGCGGATTAATTCTATTCCTCTCATCTGGCGGATTAATTTTATTCCTTCTCATCTGGCGGTTTAATTCTATTCCTTCTCATCTGGCGAATTAATTCTATTCCTTCTCATCTGGCTGATTAATTCTATTCCTTCTCATCTGGCGGATTAATTTTATTCCTTCTCATCTGGCGGATTAATTTTATTCCTTCTCAATATTCTCGAGAGGTTTTGTGGAATTATGAGACAACTCTTTTTCAAGAATTAAGCATTTTTAATTGCTAAAAATTAAAAGTGTTAACTGTAAATATCGAGTTTGGGTGCTTAAGACTAGTCATATTTTAAACAAACGATTCAACCTCAGCTGTAGTATAGATAATATATCCAACAACTGAAAGCATAATTAATTCATTGTTTTCTTTACTCACCAACTCTTATCAGACTCCAAACCTAAAAATTAAAAGAATTACTTGGATAAAGAACAAAATATCTCAAAAATGTTTTGCATATTTAATAATGATTATGTTAATTTATATCATTTATTACAAAAAAATATAGTTTTCTATGCAGTTTACATCAAGGCAAAGGTTCTAAGTAACTGTTGATTTAATGCAGTCAAGTCAAGTGATTAATTTAAAGTCGATTCACTCTATAGTCTATCTTGGATTGATAATAAGAGAGATATTGTCGTTTTTATTTTGAAATTATAATAATTCCATAAAGGGTTTAAGTCTTTGACACAAACTCTGATTTTCTAATCCTTATATATTTACAGCCTAATGTTATAGACCTTTGATATTTCAAACTATGAATTATGTTGGATAAAATAATATCAAAGGTTTGAAATATCAAAGGTTTACACCCAAAGGTTGCATAGATATAGGGATCGGAAAATTTGAGCTTGTGACAAAAACTCAACAAAATTGCTTGGATTGCTTAGACCAACGTTAAAATGTTACCTTTGTGAATCGGATATGCCACTTTTAAAATAAAAGGTGACTTGAAAATGCATCTTCAGTCTCTTTAAAGAGAGTGACCGGCAATGTATGGTAGTTGAACTGAGAATGTAGTTTTGTAGAGTCATTTTTTAGGATTTATTTGAGACCTATCAGTCGTTTCTACGGTACATATTTGTTCAGCAAGAGTGCAAATTCAATGGGCACGATCAAATATCAATGTCTTCACAGACACAAGCACCAAATCAATCAACGCCGAATCAATGGGCACGATCAAATATCAATGTCTTCACAGACACAAGCACCAAATCAATCAACGCCAAATCAATGGGCACGATCATCTATCAATATTTCTATGCCATCTCTCCACAATATTCGCTGATGGATTGTATGGTGGTTTCTTGGTATGTAATATTTTATAGTTTCTAAACTCTCCACAGTGTATTTGATCCTCTATGTCCAGATGTTATTCCTCAAGACAGATCTGGAATGCTTCTTTCAACCTTGCTTCTGACAGGCATATACATAGAGCATTGTAGGGTTTTGTTGGATCTGTGTGCTTATTATGGCATAAAACGCCATCGTTCATCACAAACAGCATAGGATTGAAGATCTGTCTCATATTCATCACTTCTTGAACTTTGCCCCTTAACTCTTGCATGTGTGGTGCTTTACCTTCTACAGTCCATTGGATAACTTACTTCAAGAATTTTTCAGCTTCTTGTGGTTTTCTTAACTTGTTCCCTTCTACTATCTCATATCCAGGAAGCCTCCACTTCTCTTTGGCTATCTCAGCTGGATCTCCTTTTAGATCTGTAGCGTAAGTTATCTTGAGTTCTCCTACTTCATTTTCTCTGATATTCTTCGTTCTCTTTCTTTGTTGATTCATCTGAATGATATGATCTTGACAATGCATCTGCATTCACGTTCTCAATCCCGTTCTTGTGTATTACTATGAACCAGTACTCTGCTGGTAGATGAGCCATAGCCAGGTCCAGTATCCATGAGTACACACTGCGTATGTAGTAAAGGGTCCCAAACTGGCTGATGAATGCTGTACAATCTCCACTGGTTGAGTTACCTGGACGACATACTGGTGTATTTGTAAGATCTGTGGCGAGACCTGGAACACCTGAGGAAAGTTGTACAAGCTCATACTTAAGCAGGGATCAAGATACAGCCAATGAAGACCAAGATTTTTCAGTCAGAAGTAGAGTATTTAGGACATTAAGTGAGTAAGGATGGAGTGCAGATGTTGAAGGATTATATCAAGAAGGTACCGAAATGGCCACGCCCAACTAGTTGTAAGAAGATGTCCTCATTTCTTGGATTCCAGTATATTAATGAACTTTCATTCCAAGGTACTTTGACAAATTGTATCAATTCAATGAAGAAGGGCTTGAAATTTGAGTGGTCAGAGGACATGGAGAAGGATTTTAAGGAGTTGAAAGCAGAGTTCACAGCAGGAAAGATCCAGGCATATCTAAACTTTGATTCCAGAGAGCCATTTATTCTCACCACGGACTAGTCTGCTTTGAATATAACTGGTATACTGTCTCAAAAACAGGATGTTATAATGGAGCGTTTTATTGGTTGCTGGGGTAGGAAGAGCAACCGATACAATAAACATTATCACTCTATGAAGGGAGAACTACTGGCTTTAGTGAAGAACATGGAGCAATGGAAACATATCCTGAAGTATTGGCCCCCCTTTTTAGTTTATACAGATGCATCCAGCCTGAAGTACATTGTCAGCATAAAAGATTGTCAGGCATTGGGTTTACCTCCTTAGGAACTTGCCTTGTTCTCAACATTTCATCAAAATGTATCTATCCAGGTACAACCTGTCTGCTATCAAAGTTAACCAGGAAACCACCGTCCACCACCACTGGGCGCATTCTTGGTAGCTATCTAACAAGCTATTAATCTAGGCTCAAATACCACACAGGGTCACAAAGCATAGCTATCAAACAAGCTATTAATCCAGACTCTAAATGACACATAGGCACACAAGCGTAGCTATCAAACAAGCTATTAATCCAGACTCTAAATGACACATAGGCACACAAGCGTAGCTATCAAACAAACTATTAATCCAGTGCTCTAAATGCCACACAGGGACACAAGCGTAGCTATCAAACAAGCTATTAATCCAGTGCTTTAAATGCCACACAGGGACACAAGTGTACTTATCAGTCAAGCTATTAATCCAGTGCTCTAAATGACAAATAGGGACACAAGCCTAGCTATCCAACAAGCAATTTTATTGATCCCAACCTGTTAACCTGTTTATTAAAACAAGGAACAATTACTCTCTTGTTGTAAACAGTACAGAGTCTCTATATCAACTGAGGTATATTTCTTCAATTTATATTAGAATTGGGTCCTTAACAGTGTAAGTACTAGTTATAAGCGTTATATATAACAATATGGGTATGACGAAGCTATGTATATCTACGTACACAGAATGGGTTAATTGAAACACATGATTTATGTATTTACTAATGTCACATTTAGCTATAAGAACAATGTACAACGTAATTTACTATGGGCCTCTACATGCCAAACCAGTGGGCATGATCAGCTATCAATGGCTACACTAGCACGCAACTATCAATGCTAAAATCAAATAGGCACGATCCTCAACCTGTTTATCAAAACACGGAAGAATTACTCTTTTGCAGTAAACAGTACAGAGTCTCTATATCAACTAGCTATATTTCTTCAGTTTAGATTAGAATTGTATCTTAACAGCGTAATTACAAGTTATGCGCTGTTATATAAACGTTGTCCAATCTCATTATGGATTTGATTGAGTTATATATATATCTGCGTATGGAGAAAGGAGGAAAAAGATGATTGATGAACATTTGAAATTATTAACTTTGCCTCGTACCATTTTATTTTACAAAATTTATAAAACTAAAATTATAAAAAACATTGTTAAAAAGAATCATAAAAAAATTCTTTACAAAACAGCATTCTCAGTTTAACTACCATACATTGCCGGCCACTCCATTTATGACCTCACGAATATTCCCTTTCAAACATGAAGGAATACTTACTCAGATAGACCTTGACACATTGTGAGCCCTTTCCATTAGGCTGTGAAGCCCTCCAAGCGTTTATGGCTAATGATTGATTAGTGTAAACATGAAAGAACTCTTCAGCTTTTAAAACCTGTAGTTTACAGTTTACAAATTAACTTTAACTTAACAAATTCACCCTTAACTAGCTAATGTCCATATCCCCCTACCCCCTGCCTCCCCTCCCCCTCTCACTTCCCCCCTTTAGAAAAATCCAAGTTCCAAGAGTCCAAGCATGGAGAGTCGAGGGGTGCCATTATTTTCCATTTTTAGTTTAGGATTAGAAAATAACAGTTTACTCAAAATAAAGAACTCCAAGGTCCAAAGGAAATATTTACCTATAAATTTACTATTTTTTTAAGATAATTTGAATTCCTTATTGCTGTTATTGTTGTCAGCTTTGTATGGGACCCAATGCAGTATTCTGCCTCCTGTATAGCACTCTGATAGTACTGCAGAATTATTAAATCCCATCTCACGATACAGCTTCATCTCCTCTAGGCTCTAGAATATATAAATCAGGATTATTTTATCCTATCTCAAGATACAGATCCATCTCCTCTAGGCTCTAGAATATATAGATCAGGATTATTTTATCCTATCTCACGATATCTTTCCATCTCCTCTAGGCTCTAGAATATATAGATCAGGATTATTCAATTCTATCTCAAGATACAGATCCATCTCCTCTAGGCTCTAGAATATATAGATCAGAATTATTTTATCCTATCTCAAGATACATATCCATCTTCTCTAGGCTCTAGAATATATAGATCAGGATTATTTTATCATATCTCAAAGTACAGATCCATCTCCTCTAGGCTCCAGAATATATAGATCAGAATTATTTTTTCCTATCTCAAGATACAGATCCATCTCCTCTAGGCTCTAGAATATATAGATCAGGATTATTTTATCCTATCTCATCTAGAATATATAGATCAGGATTATTTTATCCTATCTCAAGATACAGATCCATCTCCTCTAGGCTCTAGAATATATAGATCAGGATTATTTTATCCTATCTCAAGATACAGCTTCATCTCCTCTAGGCTCTAGAATGTATAAATCAGGATTATATTTTATCCTATCTCACGAAACAGCTTCATCTCATCTAGGCTCTAGAATATATAGATCAGGATTATTTTTATCCTATCTCAAGATACAGCTTCATCTCCTCTAGGCTCTAGAATATATAGATCAGGATTATTCAATCCTATCTCACGATACAGCTTCATCTCCTCTAGGCTCTAGAATGTATAAATCAGGATTAAGGGATTGGACTTGAAATGCACATAGAAGAAACTCTAAGAACCCCTATATTTTGTTTAATTCCGGATACATTTTCTTTGTCACATGAGTAAAATCAAAATTGGAGGAGCTATGAGGTCTCAAAGTTGCGTCAGTAATGTTGCATCAAATTGACCGTATCATTCTGCCTAGTTCACAGTTTAAAAAACGCAATAAACTCACACGGAAGACAAAAACTTGACTTTATATTGTACTTTATAAACTTACCAATTATCTACAATTTTTGGGGGTTAAGACGTACATGTGTTAAAAGTGTAAACTGTGTAACTATATTAATAGAATCTCTTAAATTATTTTACACAATTCAATTTTTTAAACTCTCCTTTTTACCTGAAAATTAGCTGCCATACTGTTAAGCTTGTATTTATCACAAGCCTCCTCTGCGTCCTGAAAGTTAACTTTTTTCTATACATTCATTATTGCAATTTATCACAATTCAGATTAATCTTCTACCCGCATAGAACAAGCGACGCTGTTTTAGAGTCTGAAAACGACCCGCACGACCCCAAAAACGGGCGCCGGCCCGACTCTGTTTTAGTA